AAAGCCACAGAGAAACCCTGTCTCAAAAAACAAACAAAAAAGACCCTGAAAACTGACCAGGGCAGTGCCTCATTAGGTGATGGCAACAGTGTGTCCACTCTTCGGGAATTGTGCCTTTCCCCAATCAGAAGGTGAAAAGGTCTCTTGTTCCAAACACCAAGTTCTTTGTGATAGCTGCAGAAATAAGACTTCTGAAGTGGAGGGAGAGAAGCCCCTACGGTCTTTGCTCTTGGCTGTGAACATCTTAGTTTCAAGGCCCACCACACAAAACACCTGAAGTCCCACGTGGGGGTACAACTGACAGCAGCACCAACTGCAGGTCTGTGGGGAGGAGGTGACATGGCAGGCATGCAGGACAGGTGGCACAGATTTGGGTGATTTCAGTGGCTGCTGCTGGAACTGAACTGTAGGAACGGGGACAGTCAGCATGGCTATGGCCTGGGTCAGTATGGCTGTCAGTGGGTACCTAATGAACTGATGACTCCAGCTAAGGAGTTTCCAGACAGCTGTCCTAAATGTAGACTAATTTCTTTAAGCTGCTTATCTGTGGGTAAGGACAAGCATAAACAAAAGAATTGTTAGCAGCATTAAAAATAGAATGGTAATAGACAGACAGACAGACAGACAGACACACACACACACACACACACACACACACACGCTGCAGAAGAGTGGAAAGGAAGGTCTTTAAAAGGTCTGTGTGCCTGTGCTTATCAATTCCCAGCTGCTATGAGATGAGAGCAACTCAATGTTCAGTGAAGACAATGGACGCTGAACTCCAGTTTCTTGTGCTTTGCACGTGAAGGAAGTATCCCCCCAGGCCCACAGGCTCATGAGCTGAACACTTAGCTGTTCTGGTGGTCCTCAGCTGGTGGTGATGGTCTGAGAGGTTGGAATCCCTGGAATGTGGAGCTTGGCTGCAGAGGCAGGGAGGGCCATAGGAATAGGCTTTGAGGGTTGTAGGCTGCCTCCAGTTCTAGCTCAATCTCTGTTTCCTGATCTACCAAGACATGGGCAAGCAGCCTCACACTCCTGCTGACACACAGCCTCTCTCATGCCTTCCTGGCCTTTGTAAACTCTACATTCCCAGTTGTGAGCTAAAAGAAATCCTCTTCCCTTAAGTTTCTTCTCATCAAGCAATTGGTTACAGCAGTGTGACCAAATTATTATTATTAACAAGTTATTAACAAATATAAGAATATATATACACAATAGAATACTATTCAACCTTTGGTAGTACATCTAAGAGGCAGAGAGAGGCAGAGACACACAGATCTCGGAGTTCCACAGCCAGCCAGGGCTATCACACAGAAAAACCCTTTCTCGGAAAGTGTGTGTGTGTCTGTGTATAATTCAGCCTTTTAAAGGAAGAAAATTCTGATATCATAGTAAACACACCTTGAAAACAGTACAAAGTGAAATCTGCTCCCCTCCATGATTTCCACCTGCATGAGAATTGAAAGTAGTCAAAAATCACAGAAACAAGCGGGGCGTTGGTGGCGCACACCTTTAATCCCAGCACTCGGGAGGCAGAGGCAGGCAGATCTTTGTGAGTTCGAGACCAGCCTGGTCTATAAGAGCTAGTTCCAGGACAGCCTCCAAAGACACAGAGAAACCCTGTCTCGAAAAACCAAAAAAAAAAAAACAAAAACAAAAACAAAAAACCCAACCAAACAAAAATCACAGAAACAAAGAGGAGAATGGTGATTGCTAGGGATGGGAGGCAGGTACATAGCTGTTGTTTGTAGGTGGTAGAATTTTGGTTCTGCTGAACAGGGAGGTACTGGGATTTGTTGTACCCCCAAGATGCATTTAGGGGATAATACTAGAGTTTGGAGTTTGGGGGAGGGAGAATTTTATATTAATTGGAATTTGTTACAGTAAGCAAGGGATAAAGCATCCAGACATCCTGGATTCCAAAACAACACTTTAATTTCCAGATTCTCCAAGAGGGAAAAATAAGTTAGGAAATGGGGTAACTCATGTTTGTAATCCCAGCTACGGAAAAGCCTGAGACAGGAGGATGGTGAGTTTGAGGCCAGCCTGGACTAGGTTGAGTTCCTGCAGAGGAGAAGAGAACAGGACGGAAGAAAATCAAGAGATGGCAATAGCAGAAGTAAACCCAGCTAGAGATAAGTCTGTGAGTGTGACTGAAAGCCCCTGTTAGGATCAAGAGGTTTAAGGAACAGATAATAGACATTTCAAAAGATGCAGAAGATTCACATTGGTGGGGACACTCCAAGCTTGCACCATAAGGGACAGAGACAGCAAATGAAAGAAGCCTCTGCATCAGTACAAACAAATAAGAAGAAAACAAAAGGGAAACAGGGACTTTCCTGTTTTTGTGATTTCTTTCCTGAGTCCTTTTTCTTTTCTATAAGAAACCAGTGATGTCATGCAGATGAGAAACTGATTTTTCTTTCTTTTCTGCCCCATTCCTTCATTCTTTCTGTCCTTCTTTCTTCCCCCTGCCTCCCTTCCCCCATTCCCCTCCTTCCTACACAGAGAAACCTTGTCTCCCTTCATATTTTCCTCTCCTGTCCCCTCCCTCCCTCCCTCCCTCCCTCCCTCCCTCCCTCCTTCCCTCCCTCCCTCCCTCCCTCCCTCCCTCCCTCCCTCCCTCCCTCCCTCCTTCTTTTCCCACATAGAATCTTACTATGTAGCCCTAGCTGCTCTGGGACTCATTCTTCACACAGGCTGACTTCAAACTTTTTTTTTTTTGACTTTTTTTTTTTTTTTTACTTCAAACTTTTAATCCTCCTGAGTCCTGAGTGCTTGGATTACATGAGTTACCACTTCCGACTTGCCCTGATTTGGGGAAAGATGTTTCCACTGGACATAGAATTATAAAATTCCATCTGGGCGATGGTGGAGTACACTTTTAATCTCAGCACTCGGGAGGCAGGGGCGAATGGGTCTCTGAGTTTCAGGTCAGCCTGGTCTACAAAACAGGTTTCAGGACAGCCAGGCAGGGCTACACAGAGAAACCTTGTCTTTTTTGTTTGTTTTGTTTTTCGAGACAGGGTTTCTCTGTGGCTTTGGAGGCTGTCCTGGAGCTAGCTCCAGCCAGCCAGGCTGGTGTCAAATTCACAGAGATCCTCCTGCATCTGTCTCCCGAGTGCTGGGATTAAAGGTGTGCACCACCACTGCCCAGCTAGAGAAACCCTGTCTTGAAAAACCAAAACTAAAACCAAAACCAAACAAACAAAAACAAAATCCAAACAAGCAAAACCCCAGATTTTTTTTGTTTTTGTTTGTTTTGTTTTTTTGAAACAGGGTTTCTCTTTGTAGCCTTAGCTGTCCTGAAACTCGCCCTGTAGACCAGGCTGGCCTTGAACTCACAGAGGTCCGCCTGCCTCTGCCTCCCTAGTGCTGGGACTAAAGATGTGCTGCACTATGACCGGCAACAACCCAGAATTCTAAAGTTTCTTTCTTTTAACACTTTTTCTTTAATTTTCCTATTTCCTCCATTGTTTCTGTGGAAAGTCACTGTTAGCATACATAGTTATATAAAATTATATTTTAAAAAATGGAACCTTAGAAGGGCGGTGGTGGTACATGCCTTTAATCCCAGCACTCTGGAGGCAGAGGCAGGCGGGACTCAGTCTGATCTATAAGAGCTAGTTCCAGGACAGCCACCAAAGCCACAGAGAAGCCCTGTCTCAGAAAAAAAAATAATAATGGAACCTTACTGTGTAGTATAGGCCAACCTGGAATTTGCTCTAACCCTGCTGCAGCTTCTTGAGTGTGGAGATGACAGGTATGCGTCACCTGTCTAGCCTCAGAGTTCCCTCTTTCAGTAGGACTTTAGTTTACATTGGGCCTCAGAACATTTGTAACATTGCGCTGCTGATTTAAATCCCATGGCCACCTGCTAGGGAGACCTGCAGTGTTTATATGAAAGTTTAATGCATACCAAACAACAAGGCATTGTTAAATAAAAGTGCAAGTTCCTGGGCCTCGTGACCCATTACATATGATTGAAGTTGCTTTCCATTCTCACATTCCCTGGCATCCAACAGAGTCTAACAGGAGCTCAACCTGTGGGTTTGGTATTACAGATACAAGTCTGCCTGAGCAAGCCAAGGACTCAGCTACAGATGCAGATGCCTGGAGATGACTTACGAACCTTGTAAAGTCAGTAACAGATGTTTTAATAACATACTTCGTGTAGATGGCCATCGCGTACACATCAGAAAACATTGTTCCCTGAAGCTAGAAAGAGCTGAGACATCTGGACACTTCCTTCCCACCCGGTCTTAGAGACATCTTTTAACATTTGCTTAAGATGCAGATTGGCTCATGAAGATGGAATGGTGGCAGGGCTGAGTTAGGCCACAGCTTCTGGGGAAATCTTCTATCTTAGTGTTTCTCACCAGGGTGAGAGGCCAAGAGTTACACAAACTCCCTGTAGGCAGATAGGGCGAGAGGCCGTGGCTAGGTAATAAAGGTGAATTTCCAAGATGGCTAGATTCTTCCTCAACCTACTGACTTACCTGGGAGCTTTTGTCTCCCACCAACAAGCCGCCTACTAATGGACTGGCTCAGTAAGTTCAAGGCTGGGTCAGGACACGGACCAATCCACATTCCTATCTGTCTTCAAACTGATCACCTCTAAAGTAGGGGGGAAACTCAAGGCTTTAAACCCCCAGGCCTTGAGAAGAGCCTAGAGTTCTCCCCGTGCTTTGCAGAGGGTCCCTTTCTCTGTATGTCTGCCGAGTTCATATCTCCTCACCGCCCAATACATGTCTTCCCTCTCTGTTGATTCCGCCTGTGGTATCTGAGATTTCTCTGCTACTTCCTGTTGCGCTTCAAATTTTTCCTGTCTTTGCTTTAACTGTCAGAGAAAATGAACCCATTTCAAGACCCCTAGACTGTTTTGGTAGTCTTTCCAAATAAATAAATAAAAGCAAAAAACGCCCCTTGAACACATGGTGCTGTCACAGCAGATTTCGCAACTTCCTTTTGAAACAAAGGGCACCCACCCAGCGTGTACTCACATGATGGCAGCTGCCAAAGCTTAGTGATACCCATGCTGTCACCAGCTCTCTCTAAGCAGCACCTCCTCCCTCACGGGGCTCTGCCCACTGCAGCTGCTCCTCCACCTGGTTCACACCCCACTCATTTGTCTCGGGCTGTGATTCACTTGTTTGTTTTTCCTGGGTCCATTCTGCAGCTTCTTGGATTTAGGAGTTGATGTCATCCCTCAGGGTTGAGAGTGAGGAAAAATCTCTCCTCGTTGCTTTCTTCTCTATTCTTCTCTCTCCTTCAGGAATTTTGGTCACTTCATTACGTTTCCTTGGGCAGGGAGCTGCGCACAGGAGTCAAGAGGACACATTTACTCTTTCTACCATGTGGATCCCATAATGAAACCCAGCATGCCAGGCTTGTTGGCAAGCATTTACCACTGAGTTGTCTCACTGCTCCCTGTTTTGTTTTTACTAGCTCCCCCACCTCAATTTGGAAACTTTGTTTTCTTTTAAATAATTTTGTTTTATTTTTATGAATGTTTTGTCTGAATGTCTGTCTGGGTACCTAATGCCCAGCCCATTTTCTATTTTCTTTATGCAATTTAATTCATCCTTTTTCTTCTGCTATATATAGTTTTCAGTTAAGATTATCTTTATTAATGCTGGGCAGTGGTAGTGCACGCCTTTAATCCCAGCACTCGGGAGGCAGAGGCAGGTGGATCTCTGTGAGTTCGAGGCCAACCTGGTCTACAGAGCGAGTTCCAGGACAGCCTCCAAAGCAATACAGAGAAACCCTGTCTCGAAAAACCAAAAAAAAAAAAAAAAAAAAAAAGACAAAGTCTGCTGGGCATGGTTACACAAATACCCATAACCCTAGCACTTATGAGGCAGACAGATCTCTGTTAGTTCAAGGCCTGGTCTATAGAGTGTTGTTGGTTGTTTTTACTCTTTATTCTTTTGGGGGGGCTGCCACCCATATCTTATTATTTACAAATGCCTAACTTTAGCTTGGCTTATTTCTTTTTTTTTTTTTTTTTTTTGGTTTTTCGAGACAGGGTTTCTCTGTGGCTTTGGAGCCTGTCCTGGAACTCGCTTGGTAGTCCAGGCTGGTCTCGAACTCACAGAGATCCACCTGCCTCTGCCTCCCGAGTGCTGGGATTAAAGGCGTGCGCCACCAACGCCCGGCTAGCTTGGCTTATTTCTAACCAGCTTTTCTTAAAATTATCCAGTCTACCTTTTGCCTCTGGGCTTTTATCTTTCTCTTACTTCCACATATCTTACTTTCACTCTTACTCCGTGTCTGGCTGTGTGGCTAAGTGGCTGTGTTGCCACTCCTAGCAACCTCCTCTCCTTGTTCTTGCTCCCCCCCCCCCAGATGTCTCCTCCTATTTATTCTTTCTGCCTGCCAGCCTCACCTATCTTTTCCTGCCAAGCTACTGCTATTCAGCTCTTTATTAGACCAATTGGGTGTTTTAGACAGGCAAAGTAACACAGCTTTACAGAGTTAAACAAATGCAATATAAAAGAACACAACACATCTTTGCATCATTAAAACAGATGTTCCACAGCACAAACAAAATATAACACATCTTAAGTAATATTCTGCAACAAAAGAGTGAGTTCCAGGCCAGCCAGAGCTGTTGCACAGAGAAACACTGTCTCAAAAAACCAACCAATCAAAAAAATAAATAAATACATAAGTAGAGACGGAGTCTCCCAGGTTGACCCAAAACTTGATATGTAGCTACAAGTGACCTTGAACTCCTGATACTCCGGTCTCTACCTCTCAAAGGCTAGGACTGTGTGTGTCACGAAACTCCAAATTTTCTTTCTTAAAGAAATCTCTACCAAGTATGGTGGCACATATCTGTAATCCCAGCACCTGGGAGGCTGAGACAGGATAATAGTGAGTTTGGGATTGGTCTCGGTAACATAGGAAGGGGAGAACTTATCACAAAACAAAGCAAAACAAATCCCCAAACCAGCTACATGAAACCCAAACTTACATAGAGCAACTCATGGGAACTGTGAGGATATCCTGTTTTCCTAATTTACTAGGGCTGCCTTCATGCAGGGTGTGTACGCCTGTGTGGGAGGGACCCTTCCAGGACCAGGGACTAGATAGAACACAGAATTCAGGTTTGAGTGTCATCACACAGTCCTGATTTACAATTCTCTTTTAATATTATATATACATTACTTATTTGTGCATGGGGGTTGGTGAGGTTGGTGATCAAAAGACAATTTGTGGAAATTGGTTCTTGACTTCTACCTAGTAGGCCCTAGGGATTGAACTTAGGTCATGAAATTTGGCAGTAACGTGCCTTTATCCACTGAGCCATCTCATTGACCCACAAAAAATTTATTTTATAATATTTCATTGGTAGTGGATATTGACACCATTATTATTACTATTACTATTATTATTGGTTTTTCAAGACAGGGTTTCTCTGTGTATTCCTGGCTGTCCTGGAATTCACTCTGTAGATCCACCTGCGTCTTCCCCTTGAGTACTGAGATCAAAGGTGTGCACCACCACCTCCCAGGCTTTGTTATTTCTTTACTATCTGCCTCGGTGACCTCCCTTCAGTCAGTTCCAGAGGGAAATCTGCAGAAGTCAGGGATGGGTGCCCGAGACGCCTAGAGGAATGCAGAGGGAAACCAAGGGGTTAATATTTAGTGTGTGACACTGACATGAGATTTCACACAGGCTATCCTCTCACAACATAGGCGTGGTCAAGACCAAGACCTTTTCAGATTCCTTCAGCTTCCACTCAGCATACCTAGATGTGCTCAGCATATCTAGATTTGGAGATTCAAAGGGCCAAGGGCATCTTGCAGTCTGGTGAAGGAGAAGGAGGACTTACGGAAAGCCTGCTTTTAGGGCTTGGGAATTGAGGGGAAAAGAGAGAGCAATGAATGGATAGGGTGGTACTGTCTTCTGATAGGCCCTCCAGCCAATCTTGTCAAGGCCACACCAGATTTCCAGATTTAAATGAAATAGAATCTCAAGGCCCATTAGAGGTGGCTTGAGTCTTTTTTTGTGGATATCCTGGTTCAGAAGTGGCTAGTGAAGAATTGAGGAGGCGTGTATTCCCGAAGGGAGTGTGCAGCATGTGGCCCAGGGAAAACTGCTTGGTTTCATGTGGACTTGAGACAGGAAAGGGGCTGCCAGCAGAGCACTAGGGAAACCAGATGCAATCAGGAGGGCATGTGTGCTGACCTGGAGGCCCGAGGAAGGAGGGCAAGTCCATGGTCAAGAGCAGGCCTTTCCTTGTGGCTACATGGCCACGGCCAGCCACACTCTCTGCTGTAGAGATCAACAGGGAAAGGTTGGGATGAAATTGGAGGCTGTTTCTGTCCATTCAGATGAAGGCTTGTGAAGAGGATTCTTTGTTAGTACACGACACAGAGCTCCATATTAGGCAAAGTTGGTGTCATCCTGGCCAGACAACAGGGGCCAGTGAGGAGAAGTTACAGAAAAGAGAAGCGCTGTCTGTGCTTCGCGTGCCCATGAAATGCACAGGCCCGCTGTCCGTGTGAGAGAACTCTTTTAAAGCCATATTGGGTGAAGTCAGGTGCGGTGGCACATGCCCGTTGTCCCAGCACTAGGGAGGCACAGACAGAAGGCATCCTGTGAGTTTGAGGCCAGCCTGGGCTATAACTGTGAGTTCCAGGAAAGCCTGGGAGACTCTATTACAAAACAAAACAAAACTTCAAGGGATATTTGTCTTCTAACCAATTAAGTAAACACTGAAAACATGTGATTCACACTCATTTTTAATGTGACTCACAGGATACAGGGCACACGCATGACCCAAGGCAATATGGCATGAGTATAACAGCAAATCCCAGCTTTAAGAATCCTGAGCTGGTTCCAACAACAGTGAAGACAGGCTGCTTCACCCCCAAAACTCTGCTCTTGAGAAAAGAGCAGACAGCTGTTCCTCCCACAGCTCTTCCCAGAACTGTCAGACTTGAAATATTCATTGGGACATTTCAGTAAATGAGTCCTTCGCAGGTTCGTAGGCATCCATTGGGCAGGACAGGACTAAATAGGGCCAGGCTTTCTTTCATTTCCAGTTAAAACTATTTACAAATTCTCTGGGCTGGGGATGTAGCTCTGTAGTAGAGCACTTGCCCAATGTTTAACACCCTGGGATAGATCTCTATCACCATAAAAAACAAACAAGCAAAGATTGCTTAGTGGTTAAGAGTGCTTCTTGCTCTTTCAGAGGGCAGAGTTCGGTTCTCAGCACCATGTCCAGCTGCTCACGATTGTCTGTGTGTGACTCTAGCTAGTTTCAGGGGATCTGACTCCCTGTTATGGCCACACACAAGGCATAAACACCCTCGAATACACATTAAAACAACAACAACAAAATCCCACTTTTGGAGGACAGGCAGTTCAAGACAGTTTCTTTCTGTAGATTCTGGTGTCCTGGAACTCACTCTGTAGACCAGGCTGGCCTAGAACTCGGAGATAGCCTGTCTCTGCCTCCCAAGTGCTGAGATTAAAGACATGGGCCACCACTGCCTGGCAAAGAAACAAAATAAACAAACAACTAAATTGTTATCACAAACCTTCTGGGTTGAAGCACAAGGAGCTGGACATAGAGCCACCCCAGGGCCATTGCTACAGGGAGCATTCCTTTCGTTAACCTTAATGCCATGCATAAAGCAAACTGCCTCTGTCTTTCTAGCTTTCACCCAGGCTGGAAAGGCCCTAAACGTATGTTGCTTGTTCTTGTCGAACACATGAGCAGTTATATTCCTGGTGCTGTAATAGATGCCACAAAGAGATAATGATCTTGCACACAAGGACACCAGACATGGAATGTCCAATGAAGGGATTGTCACTAAGTATCTCTTCCAATCACTCCAACACTTGGCTTCTTCAATCACTCATCCTGGAGGCACACATGACATAGACAAATGTGTCACTGATAACAAGAACCAGTCTCCTCTCTAGTCTCTGTCTTCTTGTCTGGACTGATCTGAGTACTTGCAAATACTGGTTGGTTCCTTTGAGTTTTCTTGGTGTTGACCTACAAAGTCCCAGGCTGTCCCTGTTTCCTTGTGTCACAGAGACTTTCCAAGTCTGCTCATCCTTTGGACTTCATCAGACTCTGAAAAGCCCTGTCCCTGGAACCTCCCTGTGGTTTCCCAGGGACTTTGTGGAAAGAGAAAACACAAAGTCATCACCAAACATTTCTTGCCTCGGTGATCCCTCGTTAATCCAACCTGTGTTCTGGGTACTAAGGCCTCTTTCCCGGTGGTCCACTGCCTGTGGCGCCCCGCCAGTCTCTTGTGGTTTGTAGATTCAGTTCCTCACACACTG